TCGCACATGTTGCTGACTATGTGTTTGACAATATGCCTAAATGGCCACCATGTTATGAACCTGGGAAATTCTAATATACAACAGATGTACCGTATACACTTTTAATTATATTTTTGTTTTTAGTTATGATTAATTTTCTTTTTTAATTATGATATTATTTTAGTTATGATTCATAAGTTTTTAAGTTATGTTTTATGTTGTATTTAGTTACGATATTTTTTTTTTCTTTTTTTAGTTATAATTTAAAAAATTAAAATTACGTCATTTTTTTTTTTAGTTATAAGATGGATAGGATGTGTAACCATAATATTTTCCTATGAACACACAAATCATGGACCATACAAATAAAAAATAAAAACTTGAATTGTTTTGAAAATTGTTGAGATGTCTTCAAATTGTATCCACAAAGTTGCTATGATATGTTTATGCACGTATTTAATATTTAGTGATCTTTGAATTGGTCTATAAATACAATTTGTCCTGTGCTTTGCCGTAGGCTTTGTTATAATCATAGATCTGGCAATCAATTGAAAGCTCTTGATTGAATCTCAGTTGTGAGTTGTTCTACAATTTTTTTCTCATAACTTTCATTTATTTAGAAAATTAAATAAAAATTAATTGAATCGTGATTTGAGAACTTTTTTGGTTTCTCTTTGTTACTTACCACCTCTTTATTTAGTTATATATAAAAATCTTGAAATGAGATCCATCAACTGCACAACAGTAACTGTTATATGGGGCACAACACAACCACCCCAATTCCTTCTTTGTAAAGTTTGCTCCATTGTTAGAGCTTCAGGTGGGATCATTTCTCCTGTCCCTTATCTTTGTTGTTGGTATCTACATTGGGCTAGGAGCCACTGTGGTCAGGGTTTAGGTGGGAATCTAACCACCCGTAAACCTTTATCAGGCTAAGACTTATTAGTGCATTAAAGTGTATAGGATCTATAGCTATTTAAGTTTATCACATAAAACTAACTCAAAATTTATCCAAGAAATAAAATAAAATAAAATTAGAAATGGATGCGATCAAGAGTGGGCCAGGCCAGGTTGGGCTGAAATGGCCTTTTCAACACATCATGTTCCATCATTGCAGAGATGGATGTGCCAAAGAGGTGTCAATTCTCGTGGTGGGCAGGCATGTCATTAATGGAGCAAAACCACCCAAGGCAGTGTGACAACAATAATTTAAGACTACACAAGGGGGTTAGTACTATTATGAACCCCACATATCTTCACAAATAATTTTTTTTTCTTCCTTTCTTCTATCTTCGTTTTTTGAAGCTGGAAACGCTAGTTATGATTGGAATTCATGGAATCATGGTCTTAAAATGTAAGATGATATGCTAATTTTCCAAGCTTTCGAACCAACATGAAACAGTTTCATTCCGGCAAAACATACACTATGTAAAAGAAGATAGATGTGACTCAAATAGAAAGTTCATTGATGAAATTTTTAGATAGTAGAAAGTATATGAAGTCAAACATAACTTAAAAAAAAAAAAAAAAAAGTCATAACTGAACCCTACATAAAGCATAACCAAAGATCTCATGAGTCATAATTAAAATATTGTCATAACTAAAAAGGAAAATTGATCATAACTAAAAATATGGCATAATTAGGGATGCATATGATATACCCCTTTCAAAGGGTGTGTATAAGGGGAAAAGACTATGGTACGTACACCCTTCAAAGGGTGTGTACCGTATGCCATGACTAAAGATAGTAGAAGGTATGTACTTACAATTTTGAGGCAATTTAAGCCATCAAAGTTGGGTTTGTCGTTCAATTTAAAATTTGAATTCCCGCCCATTACTGTTCATTCACGCGGAATTCTATGCATCTTTGCTTTATATCCAAGCAAAACCACCACGATCGTGACACGTGGGTGGACAGGAGATGGCCACGTCTACTCACACCACTCAATAGTCGTTCCATCTTTCTTGTTATATACCAGTAAGTCGTCTTTACTAGTTTCTCCTTCATTCTTTTATCGATGATAACACTTAGTGTAGCGTGTATTTCTTTACCAATTGCTTTCATTCTCTTGTTCCTCTTAGTTGGCAAAAACCTACACATGCAGTAGTGAAGCATATATAGCTAGCTAGCAACTATGACATATCTTTTTTTGTATTTGCGTTAGCCTAGTGGCTAGAGCTCGTCAACTTTACTAGGGGGTCATAGGTTCAATTCTCCCTCCCCATTCAATATACCCAATAAATAAAAAATAAAAACAGAAATAAACATCTTTTTAGGCAAATTACATCGATGGTCCTTAAACTTTATCCCTTGTGTCAATTTGGTCCTTACAGCGTCTTTTCATTTTTTTTTTTCTTCTAAAATATCATATATTTAGATTTCTATTTATCTTTCCTAGTACTGAAATATATATCTTTCACATTTTCTAACAAAAAAATGAGCTAAACTAATACAGCATTGTTAGAGGTACCTACTATTTTACGTCCTCTCAAACTAATATATACAAGTCCAACCAAATAGAAAAATATTCAAATTAAGTATTTAAGACAATTTGATTTTACCTCCTGCCTGGGATGTAAACTGCACTGATAGCCTAGATTATAAGTACAAGTAGTTCGTTTTGAAGTTTGAATATCTTTCTTCCGTCTTCATAGTTGCTACCAAAAGCTGCGCGAGATATCACCAAGAACTAAGTGAATTCACCACGTTGTCACATTCTGCTGAATTTCTTACAACAAGACCCCCATTTAAATGACGATTGGAGGAATGGAAGCAATAGACAACCAAGTTCGTGACAACGTGCTCAGTTTCAAAAATTTAAACTTACGCAAGCACAAAATATATTGTCTTAGTGATTTTGTGAATCTAGGTTGGAAGTTGGACTATGTATGTGAGATGATCTATTTGACAACTTGTGACCATGTTTCATCACCATATACTTTGGGCCTGATATGTTTCTTTTAAATTGTCTGGGTATGTTAGTCAAATATATGAATTTTTTCTCTAGTGCTTTATTCTTGAATTTTTATTTACTTGCTATGGATAATGGTAAGGTAACTATATTTAATACATGCTTTACTGTTGAGATTTTTGTAAATGTCATGCTTTATGTTGTTTATGTTTGCTGGCTTAAAAATCTGTATTGCACTCCATCGAGTGTTATAATGGCAGCGCCACATGTGTGGAGTTAATTGACCACACTAGATTTTGGGAAAACCATGGAACATATATAATTATATGTATTTAGGTAAAATTGATCCCCTATTAGCTTCTCCTTTGTGTGATATATGGATTCTTATTGCTATTTTTACCTTGAAGCTTCCAAATTTTCACTCCAATGGTAAGGCATATTGCTTGCTATATATTACCTATAGGCTGTGAAGCACCGACACGTCAAAACAAGTGTCATATCCGTGTCGGACACACAGACACTTCGAGGCACGTATGGGACACACCACTTATTTAATTAATTTATTTTCAGAGGACACGCTGGGGACACTTCGGGGACATACTAGAAACATGCCAAGTTGTTTTTTCTCCCATTTTAGTTAATGCTTTTCATGAATGTTTATTATTTTTTTCTTAGATTTAAATACTTAATAAATCATTACTAAAAAAAGATATAAGCTGTAAGTGTTAATTTAAAAGTGCTTTTTAAAAAAAAAATAGAATTAGAGTTAGTTTTTGTTAAGATTGATTGTTTTTTGATGTAATATTAATCTAGATAGCAAATAAAAATATATGAAAACATATTTTATTATTGTGTCCCCACCTTGTCAGTGTCCCTATTGTTTTGAAATCGACGTGTCCCGTGTCCGCATCCGTGTCCGTGTCTGCATTCCTATCCGTGTCTGTGCTTCATAGCCTATAGGTAAACATTGTGTCAAATATAGCACAAGGTTAACATGTAGCTAAAATTTTTGTGTTTATAGCTTTCCTCTAGGAATGTACATATAGCATTTTGATTTGACATTGGGTGAGAAAATTGAAAATTTTACATTTGTACCATTGGAGCAACATTCCTAAAATAAAGCATTTTAACATTATTCTTTGCTAAATTATAGCAATAACTAGCTCTTTACCCATCCATTGAAGATGCTCTAACTTACAAAATTGATACCATTGCAATTATCTTAGAGTAATTCAACTGCCTAAAAATATTTCAAGTCATCTCTATATTTGTCCAAGCCCCTATACAATCAACAATTAACTTCATTGAATATCTGAGACTGTATGTATGGTTTTTCATTGCCAGTTTGTATATACATTATTTTTTCTGTAGTTCTGTTCCAATTTTATATTATGTCCTTGATGGGATCTATAGTTGAAGAATCTATGCAATGTATATATATACGTATTGTGTTATTGATTAATTTAGGGTTGTTTTTGGGTTTGTGTGTTCTTTAATTATGTTTCTAATATAATGATCTGGTAATAAAATGTGGTTATTGTTTGGGATTTCAACATATGGTTGATAAATTTCCTTGAATCAACTTTAGAACTACATTGATTTGCTCTGCAGTGGCAAATTTTTTAGAGCTAAAAGGGATTGGTGATGTTACTAAGAAAATTTAGAGACAAATATTGTATATCCATCAACCTATTTACTTGTGAAATTAGGTTTTCTTTTACTAGTGGTGACTGCAATGGTAGAAAGAGGTTTTCAATAATGAAAATTCATAGAAAAATATTTGTGCAATCGAATGGGATATGAGTGGATGAATGCTTGTTTGGTCAAGTACCTTGAAAATGATGTATTTGATAGTAATAATACTGAGACAATTATGCAACAATTTTTCAAAATATGAAAATTCATCTATGGCATCTATAGAATCTTGTGTATTTACATTTTTTTTTCTTTCTATATATACATTAGTATGAATATGCTAAAGTTTTCCTTTATTTGTGATTTGTGAAATTTTAAATTCTCTGTCAAATAATTAGTTAGATATGAGTGATAGATATTTGTAAGAGTGAAATTTTTTTTTTAATTTTAAATATAATTTTTGGAACTTAAATCATTGACCCCAATGAGAAAAAGATCCTGGAGCTGCCACCAAGTGTTATAGTACACCTCTTAACACTTATTTGTGTTGCAGGCAAAATCAAGCCCTCCGATGTCGGTCTTGAACAAGAGGCACAGTTGGTATGTGCGTGGACAAAATCTTCACATGGACGTCATGGGAGTCTTCAGTCACCGCCACCAATCAAATACCTGCATTTACACAAGTGCGAAAGTTTCTCTGTAAGTGTAGTACTTAGGCATACATATCTGTGACAGTTCATTCTAGTTACAACCATCAATGTGATTGATATGGAAATTTGGAAACTAAATCATGGAATCCATTGGTTTCTGAATTTTCTTGCAGATGGGAATATTCTGCATGCCACCTTCCTCTATTATACCTCTTCATAATCATCCTGGAATGACTGTGTTGAACAAGCTTCTATATGGTACATTAAATGTAAAATCATTTGATTGGATTGATGTGTCTGGGCCTTCTGATCAATTGCAAGGTTTGCTCTTTTGGATATATATATATATATATATATTTTCAGTATATTTAACTGGTTCTATGCTGCCTAAAAATGTTTGATGGATTTAAGGTTCACTAAAGTCCTTAGATGGAAAAACTTTAAATGCAAGTCTTTTGATGGTCTAAAACTTTAAATGCTAGTCTTTTCATGGTCTAAAACTTTAAATATAAGTCTTTTGATGGACTGACCCTCCAAAAAAATGAAGAAAAAGAAAAAACACATAGTAAGGCCCTGTTTGGTAGCACTTATAAATAAACTTTTTAAGCTTATTCGAGAGCATTTTGAATATTTGCACAAAAAAAAAAAAAAAAGCTGTCTCAACTTGTTTAACCAAACCGGTTCAACTTTTTTCACAGATTATGAAAAGCTGCATCAAATAGATTTACAACTTATTTTAATTCTTTTATGCTAATAATTTAAAAAGCTATAATGAGAATGCTATATAAAGTTATGAATGTTTTCGGTAGCAGGTGCAAGACCTGCCAAGCTTGTTAGGAATGGTGAGATGAGGGCCCCTTCTGAGCCAACAATTCTGTATCCATCATGTGGAGGCAACATTCACTCTTTCAAAGCCGTGACTCCGTGCGCTATCTTTGACATCCTGTCGCCACCTTACTATTCTGAGGATGGGAGACACTGTACTTATTTCAAAAGTCTCCAAGAGCAGATTTGCCAGGTAAAAGTTACTAGTGCACATTATTCGTAAATTTTGATAATTTAGTGAATGAGAATTCTCAGTTTTTATGTTTTTGCTTTTATTCTTTCAGGTGTTGTTTTATTTTTTTTCATTGAAGGTACTCTTGAATTGGATGGAGTGACCACGGACAGTACTAGGAAAAGACTATGGAGGGCTGGCCCTCTGTTTTTGTGAAAATTATTATTTTTCATAGAACTTTAAAAATATATATATATATATATATATATATATATTATTTTATACATAAAATGGCCCCCCAGTATAAAAAAAATATGTCATTCTTCTTTTATCTTGAATTCTCTTTCTATTTTACAACAAAAAAACTTCATCACTTTATTAGAAATTGCTTCTATGGTATTTAATTTTTTTTATGTATATATAATTTATATATATCATATTATACATACATATGTGTTTTATGTATATGGTGAAAAAAGTTATTTTTCTTTTCACCCCTCCGATGGTGAAATCCTGGTTCCGTCCCTGGGAGTGACCATCTCAGAAGTGACTTGGTTGGAAGAGTTCCAACTTCCAGACGACTTTGTGATTCGGAGAGGGCAGCACAAGGGTCGTGTTATCAAAACTTGAGGTTTTTCTTTTTCTTTTTCTTTTTGTATCCATCTTTTTAAAAATGAATTGAGCACTTCATTTGGGTAGTTTGAGTTGAATTCTGGAATTGAGTTGTCAATAGCCATGACAATAATAAGTTCTGTTGGCTAAAATGAGTTAGGCATTTGACTTTGTACATAGTAAATATAGTTATCTTATGCAGTGACCCCAGTTTTTACACTTTGAACACCAACGAAATTTGGAAGAATTATGCCCGCTCTTGTTCTGTTCATGAGAATTTTTCTTTTTGATTGTACGACATTTTTTGTTTTAAAAAAAAAAAAAAGCCTTCATTTTGTTCAGCAAATTTGTTGTGTTCTGAATTTTTTTTGTTGCACCTCTGTTTATCTTGATTTCAGCTCAAGCTCTGTTTCTATGGGCTTGCTTAAGCTTTTGTTGGGCTCTCTCTCTCTCTCATTTTTTTTAAAATTTATAAAATAAAACAGGTGATGTATTGTCTGAGTCATATTATTGTGTTGTCTTTTATATATGGGAAAAGTTAGGGCCCCAACGCCTTTAAGCCCCAAGTGTTTCTTGTATAATGGTGGAGAGCCTAACTCCATGTTTGGATAAGTAGGTCTCCCTTTCTGCTCTATTGCTTATACATTCTTTGAGTGTATTTTGATAACCCATTTATTTTTTTTCCCTTTCATATTTTCATAAGTAGGCATGAATTCATGGTCAGGGTTGTATTTTGAATTTCAAATTGCCTTTTTTTTTTTTTTAATAGATTTTGATTCCAATTGGAAAGCTCTATCATGTGCATTGAACTTGTAGTAGTGTCTCCTTAGGTGTGTGTTTAAATGATTGTATTTTATTTATTTTTGGTGGTTCTAACGATGAAAACAAAGATTTTGGGTTAAAAGTGTTTATTTACTAGAATGAAGTCGAATGAATTGATCATTTTTATTAGTGTATCAATTCTCACGGTTGGTTTACCAAAAAATGATTAAAAAGAAAATACATTATAAATAGAATCATTATTATTTCATAAAAAGAGTAAGAAATAATCATTCTATTGTATTCCACTCTCAGTTTGTCAAACCAAACTGGGTACCAAGGACAGTCAAAATATTTACCTTCACTTCCTTTCTCCTACCTATAGTTTAGAAAATAATCTTTATTGGACAATTTTGTATATTCTAGTGTGTAAACAACAATAAAAATCATTTTTTTTTCAACAAACTACAGTATATATGAAGCTGATGCTCATAATCCAAAATGAGATCTCAATAATCTAATCATATATTGATGAAAGAGCAAAATACAAGATGACAAAAATCAAATTTGCATAATACGGACACATTATTGCATCAAGTGTGATGTTGGCTTCAACAATATTATTTTCTTTTTCATCAAAAGTACAGGCCGTATAGTTCATGAAATTTAAACCCCAAATAGAAAATATTCTAAAGTTTGTGTAGAATCAAGTGAGCACCATATTGAGGCTGAAGAGTTCCCATAGTGAACGGAGCATGAGTATAAGACGGTGAAAGCTCAAAAGAGAATTGTTGTAGAATTGTAGCTATGGCCATCTTGGCTTCTAACATTGAGAAGTTTTGTCCAATACATACCCGAGGTCCAGAACTAAATGGGAAAAATGAAGGTTGGTTGTTCTTTGTTGCCTTCGACACTCCTTCTGCAAACCTCTCCGGCTTGAACTCTTTTACATCGTCACCCCAAATTTCATGGTCATAATGTAGCAACATTACCTGTAAAGAAACTACCACTCCCTCCGGGAGGGTGATTCCTCCTAATTTCATATCTCCATGGACCACTCGTTTCATCCGAACTAGTGGTGGGTATAATCGTAAAACTTCATACAAAATCATAGTAACCTGAGGAAGAGAAGTTTTAAAGATTACAGTTAATTAAATTTACATGAGTGCAACATTGTGCATACAAAATATTTTTCTTTCCCCTCCGATGTCCCTAAAATATTGTACAAATTTTGACAGAAATTTTGGGTTTTTTAGCAAATGGTACTTTTTCATGCCAAAATAATTCTCCAAAAAAAAAAATATTTTGGTTTTCTCAAGCATGGTATAATTTGTGTAACAAAATATGTAAGCATATGTCAATGTCATATAGTACTAAATATGGTGTTTTCTGCACTATGGTGTATAAAATTATTCTTATAATTATGTCACTGCCACATATCATTTTAGATTTTGTATAGAAATTTTGGTAGTCTAACATTTTCCATAAAATAAATATGAAAGAAAATTGACATTCCTAGATCATATTGGCATAGCAAAATGATGCATGCATTTTTAAGGGTCTTCTACTGGTCATGAATTTGAATTTGAAAGGGAACAAACAAACAATGAGGAAAACAAAAGCACAATGAATACTTGATAGGTAAGTAGGAATATAATCTTTTATGCAATAATGTCCACAAGAATTAAATGATTTCCCAAAGTATGCACTTACAATTTTGAGGTGATTTAAGCCATCAAAGTTGGGTTTGTCGCTCCCAAATACTTGTAATACCTCTTCCCTTGCACGTTGTTGCCAATTTTGATGCCTACCTAATAAAATCATAGTCCACACAAGCAAAATCGCCGTAGTCTCCTGCCCAACAATGTAGAATAGCTTGCATTCTTCAATAACTTCTTCAATAGCCATTCCATCTTTCCTGTTATACCCATGCTGTTCAATTTCCTTGAGATTGGATTCTAGTAATATACCCAGTAAGTCGTCTTTACTGGTTTCTCCTTCTTTCATCGCCTTCATTCTTTTATCGATCATAACACGGAGTATAGCGTGTATTTCTTTATCAATTTCTTTCATCCTCCTGTTCCTCTTAGTTGGCAAAAACCTACACATGCAGTAGCAAAGCATATATAGATAGCTAGCAACTATGAAATATCTTATTAACTATTGGCGTTGGCCCAGTGGCTAGAGCTCGTCAACTTTACAGGGAGGTCATTGGTTCGATTCCCCCTCCCCCATTCAATATACCTAAAAAATAAAAACTAAAATAAACATCTTTTTGGACAAATTACATCGGTGTTTCTTAAACTTTATCCCTTGTGTCAATTTGGTCCTTGTAGCACCCTATCTTTTTTTCTTTTAAATTTTTTTTTTCTCAAATATCGTATATTTAGATTTCTATTTATCTTTCCTAGTACTGAAATATATATCTTTCACATTTTCTAACAAAAAAAGGAGCTAAACTAATACAGCAATGTTAGAGGTACTTAAAATTTTACCTACTATTTTACTTCCTCTCAAACTAATATATGCAAGTCCAACCAAATAGAAAATTATTCAAATTAAGTATTTGAGACAATTTGAATTTACGTTGCGCCTGGGATGTAAACTGTACTGAGAGTCTGGAGTATAAGTACAAGTAGTTCTTTCTGAAGTTTGAATATCTTTCTTCCATCTTCATAGCTGCTACCAAAAGCTGCACGAGATATCACATCGCTAGTCAAAGTTTGAAGATAAGGCCACACATCCACCTCACATGACCCTTCTGTTGAGGCAATATTGTTCTCCCATTTGCTTATCATCTCGCTACAGCACAAATAAAATGCAGGTACCATATGCTATAAACAAAATCAAAAGACCAAAAAACCAAGACTCCGTCAGTAACCACATTGCAAGCTGTACACGAAGAAGAAGAAAAAGAAGCAGAAGAAGACAACACTTGGAAACCAATTGATATATATACATACACATATATATATATATATATATGTAGAATTTTGTTCTATCGTGAAGTTGCATTTAGACGCAGCAAACGACCACTAAAACATTTAACTAAATAGAGCAACTAAGCTTAAATAACTAATATGGTCAAATACACTATTGGAGCTCAAAGTATACATTCTATGTCATTCTAATCCATGATATTTCAACATGTCAATTTGGTCCCCAACTTGCCCAATTTATGTTTAAATGGTCCTTAGCATCATTTCGACCCAAATTTTATAATGGAAGCACGGGGTATTTTATTTTTATTTTTCTCAAATTTGGATGGAAATATCGAACCATATTAGTTGGAGACCAAATTGACTCAATTGAAAAATCGGAGAGTGGGAGACCAAAATGAAATAGAGTGCATACTTTGGGGACCAACACTGTATTGAACCCTAATGATATAAAAAATGGGTGGAAATAACCTTCAACTTCTCCATATGGAAAGCCGGGTTGATGATTTTTCTGTGTTTAGCCCATTGCTCACCATCAAGGCTAGTTAGACCATTGGCTATCAACTTATTTGACTTGGCCTTTTGATAGTTGAAATTCTTAGACAAGACCTCCTTTACAAGTTCAGGGTCCACGATGTTAATATGTGGTATTGGTCCAAACCACGTAAAAGACTTCTTTCCTGAAACTTATAACCGAACACGTCAAACAGAAGTTCAAGAGCGATCAAATTAATATTCCTTGAACAAACTGAAACAAGCAATATATACGTGAATAGTGAGGTTCGTAAA